CTGAATTATCTTGAGCTCATTTGTTCGGTCTACCACCGGCCTGGTGGATAAGGTGCTGTACATTACTACTTTTGTTAATATTGGAAGCCTTGCAAACGATTTATTTACATAGGATAAACGACTTGCACACCACTATATTTATTACATTTACTCCACTATATATACCACTATATTTAATACATTACTTATACGTAATATTGTTACGAATTCTGTACACAGAATAGATGATGTTAGTGAAATTCTATATGAAATTATTGTATCTTTTTGTATAATGTAAAATTAAAATCTGGAGAAGTGATGCTCTTCCGGAAAAGTAAGAATACAGTGGAAAGTGTATCTAATATTCAGTAAACGGTTGTCTCGCTAATTTGGCGAGATATCGCCAAGCTGGCGATGGTTTTGGCAACTAATTTTTCTCCCCACATTTGGTGGGAAATTGCGAAAGGTCGCCGCATTTGGCGACATTTTGTTCCAATCTTTTTATCGCCGTTATAATTTAATTGTGATTAACTGTAATTGATTACATATGAAACTGCAAATCTGCCCGCCCTCAAATGCCTTCCATTAATTTTGAGAAGTACTAGAAATTTCTCGGCGGCCGTGTGAAAACTATATAAGGCCAGAGAGAGCATCTGCTATCAGTTTTAGTCGTTTTTAGCTCAGAATCAATTACGGAGGATTGAGAACTTTTGAGAGCTTCGCCTTTTGGAAGCACTTTGCATTGCCTTGTGTTTAACGTTCTTAGTAGTTCAAAATGTAACTTCTGATAGTAGTCTTTAGCACTGTGAAGAGATCTGTCTGTGATCTCGGACACTGTGTGTTGATAAAATAAATTTTATCAACCTATCATCGTACCTATGTGCATTCAATCTATTATAAGCCCATACACACGTAACAATATGAATTGGAATTAGCTTCCTCTATACAGTTCTCCAAGAAAACATTCTTTGTCAAATAACACACGAATATTTTGCTCTAGTTGCCTAGTTGATTAAAGCCAACCGATGCTTTTGAATATGCTGATAGAAGATGATTGTTTTTAAATTATTATAAATAATTTGTAGAGACATTAGGTATTTTTTGGAAGCAGGAGAAGTGAAAAAGGAGCAACTCCTTCGCCAGGAATCGAACCACGGTATCTGGAATACGCGCCCAGACCACTACACTTCAAAGCCATGCTAAGAAGGCGGGAGAAATACCTTATAAATTATTATGTAGAAATGATGGGTTTTGTGGAAACGATGATACTGTGAGATATGTTGATCAAATACTTTTAAAAAAATATAACTAACTAACCATAAAATTTATAATTACAGTATTATGATTTAACCATTTTAATTCAACACAGCGGTTGTACCAATTAGAGTACACTTGTTTATTTCTCAGTCTGAAAACATAAAATCATATTTGCTGAGTAATTAAAGTCAAAACTCCACGTAATTATTGAAAACGCTAAGCGATAAAATTTAAAAGCACATGATCATCGATTAACTAGTAAAAATAAAATTTAAATGTCAGTTAAGAAAATTTCCCAATCCATATCTTTTAAAAACCATTTTAAAACTATTTCGCTGTAAGAATTATGGTAGGGGGAAAAACTAATTTATTTCTTTTTTTTTAATATTCCTAATACACTCAGTAATTTATTGTAATTAAGCTAATGTAATTAGAGCTATTATGCATGTGCAGCAAGGTAAAATTTAAAGATAAAAGTGGTGATATTTTAGTGCTTTGAAAAAAATAGTACGACAACCATCCACAAAAGAAAGCAAATTTTTATTATTATTTCATTATTTCATAAATATATTTTTTATGCCTCGAAATTTACATCGCAATCTTTCTTTCCTAGCTCTTTCCAAAATCATCGCTTTTGGCTAAAAGTGGGTTATGTAAGGGCTTTCTGTGATAAATCATCGGTTTTTGCCCCTTCTGGGCTCGTTAATGTTTGATAAAAGAATCTTCCATCGACAGGACTACAACAAAAGGAAAAACATAATGCCCATTATATCTTTCAGTAATTGACATATTAGGGCGAAAAACCTGTCAGAGAGAATAATACAGCAATTTTTTTCCTGCTGGCGCTTCTCTAAGTAGGCGTTGTATTCATAATTACAGAAGATTGATTACAATTCGAGCAATAAGCGATGTTTAATGAAGCTGTAAAAATTGCTGAGGTATTTCGTAAGTATTGAATTACCTCCAGATAATGTGGTTGGGAAGTAAGTAGATACTAATACTTGTTTCATCATTCACCATTTATATTTTAACAATATAAAACTCTGCTGAAGACATTTAAGTTCGTAATTCAGAAACTGTGAACCGGCTTTTATTTACAATGTGAGTTTTAAAGAGCCTCTGCCGAAACTTTGCTCTCAAGCTTCGAACATTACTATATTATGCGTCAGAAATATGCATTTTTAGTTTTTTCTGAGGAACTGAAAATGACGTCTTGAAGTTTTGATTTAAAACCAAGCATGGACCTTAGTACTCCTGAAACATAGAACGGCTGAAGCGGGGAACGTATCAAAATAATCTCAACCTTGTAGTGTTGTTTCTTTCTCAATCTTGTAGCGCCTGAAGCTTTGCTCGTTATCCAGTTTCTTTGGCTAAATGCAGAGGAATCAACACTGTCGTGGCTGATTCTGAAGCATGGATATTCCTTAGCCCGCGCCTGTGCTTATGTTTGAAATTTTATTAAAACCCTTCTGTTTTTTTTTCTTCTTTGCCGAAGCACTAAGGTGTCTTCTTGTTGTATTAAGGACTGACTGGTTGAAGACAAGCTCTTTGTAGTTTTCACTTACGTTATAGAGAGAAGTATGTTGGATGCAATTCCAGATATGAAGAATTACCGACCAGTGCCTATTCAAATATTTGAAAGTCCAATGCCATAAAGGCTTTTGAAATAATATATATACAAATAACTATTTAAAATAATAAGTATATTTCAGTTATTTCGGAACAATAAGTGAAAAATGTTAGTATAACTAAAGAATTGGTACAGACTTTGCATCAAACGGTTCGAATCCTATCAATGATATGCGTGATCGATGCTAGAACAACCAATTTTGATACCAATTCTTTATTAGAGTTAGTTTAACTAACCATTCTTTTTTAATATATTATCTTTTATTTTCCTGTTTAAGCTCAGACTCCTACAAAAAGATTTAAATGCGTCTCATAACTAAATTTAAACAGTATTTAAGATGATTTGGACTAGTTGTTAACCGCATGACCGTGTTTGCTAAACTTTGTATTCAACATCCTCTTCAAATCTTCATACATCCGTTATCTGATTATAAGATACATCTTGACCTAGCACTGGAAATACTTTAAAACGCTGTGCTTCTATACAAGTCATACATGTCACCGCACACTAGCGGCCGAGCGGGTAAGTCGCTGAACACTGGTAGTTTCAGTCCGAGGTTCGAATCCTGCCAACGGGCTGCCTACATGGGCGTGTTCGTGGTCTTCCCCGTGTGTAATGCGTATATGAACCAGTTTTCCTTAGAAAGTCCTCCACGAAGGCAGATATCCCTCGTGTGCTTTGCTGTAATCGAATAAACCAATAAACCAAACCATACATGTCACCATATTAATCGTGATAACGTCACTTTAATTATGTTTCTCTGACCTTAGACTGTAGAGACATAAGGTGTTTTTTGGAAGCAGGCAAGATGAAAAATGTGCAATGCCTTCGCCGGGAATCGAACCGCGAACCACTCAAGAACGCGCTGAGCGTGCAGACCACTACACCACGAAGGCTCGCTAAGAAGGCGGTAGAAATACCTTATAAGACTTCCAAATGACCCAAATTTGAGGTGCCTGTATGTAAAGTTTTTTATTTGGAATTGATAGAAATCGTTTTTTTCCGTTACTATGGTATCCATTTCTCACAGAATGAATTCAATCATTCAGCTATAGCGTTGTTTAAGTGACTTACTAATCATAGAAATATTTAGGTAGCTCTCGGATTACTTGAAAAAATTTTGAACTAGTTATTTTGAACTGTTCCGGTATAGAAATGAAGGAATTTATCTCCCTTCTTCCCCCAAAAAACCATGATGACGTTCTTAAATGGCTGGCTGGCTTGAAGCTTCCCCAAAAAACTCTAGCATTGACAGTCCTTCAAGTGAGTTCTTTGTATAAAAATAAACTTATTCAAAACAAGAATAAACATTTAAAGCGTTTCCAGAATTTTCTTTTAAATTTTTAAGTCTTCAGTCACAAAAGAATGAAGGGCAATTTTACCCCAAGCCTACTTCAGAATTCATCCAAGAATAAATCGCTTTTGAATACATCATTTAAATACTTGCAAACCTGCTCTGCTTTTGTAGTTTACGTTACTAATTTAAAAGATATGAATTATATCTTAAAATCAATTTATTTTTCATTAACAGCAATAGTTGCATGATTAAATATTTTTAATATTTACATTTTGTTTTAAATTATTTGGTAGAAAACAATTAGATATTCGGAAGATTTCTAATCATTACCATGTGTAACTAATTTAATTTGATTTCGCGAAGTCTATATATATCTCACCAAAACTGTTATAAAAATTTGCCTTTTTACTCAAGATCAGTAAAACTTAAAACGTGTGGCTTAAAATTATAAATTGAAGATATTAATTAACACTTACGACGGCGAAATTCTTCATTTCTTCTTTTTAATCATCCCTAAACGGATATGAAAAGTAGAGTAAGAGGATTTTTGCTTTTAGGAATTTGAACCCAAAAGTAAAGCTTATAGTTTTATGTAATATAAACAGATAAACCGTTAGATTGCCGAATTGACTTTTGAGTATTCATTGTTATAGAAAACACTCATCTAAAAGAGATATTTGAAATAGTTGAAAGCATTGATTTCAATTAAACAAAATAGTTGGAAAATACTGGAAATTTAACATTCAGTTAAATCGCTGTTTTATTTTCAATTGGTTTATGATTTTCAGAAATTGCATTATATAATTCGTCTAATAATGCTATTTTACTTCTTTATAGGTGGGGTTGGCTTGGTTTTAATTGTGGAAGCACATTTGGAGTTTCTGGTCACAAATGGAAGTATGCAGCAAGGTAAGATGTTTCTTTTAGTTATTTAACTGAAAAAGGGTAATTTCATGACTACATAGTGTATTTCCATCATTCATTCCAGGTAATGTACTTTAATTTTATCCAGTAACAACTTTTAAAAGAAAAGCAAAACTTTATCAATCAATATGTCGATTACGTGCCCGATATGATCTCAGTAATATCTTCGGTTTCAGATAGTTTTGAATTTTAGCTTAACTATTATAAGTCCACCCACTCGATTATTGATTTTGCTGTCTTACATTTGTCTCCCGTTTTCGTATCCAAAGGTTCTTTAATATGTATAAAAGGGATGTTATGTCTACAGTTGAAAACTAAGTTTTACCTCTCATGTTCTTTAAATTAAAAGTTATTGATTTCTAGTTCATGGATTTGCTCGTCGTGGGTGTAACCAGTTTCGATTTCCCTTTTGACAAGTTTGACATATTAGGTATTAACTATATGAATATACGTCTTATTTTCATCTCCGGCAACTTGAAATGTCTTTTAGTTCGATATGTATTTGTACATTACGGCTCAAAAATTAGCAACAATACTATTACCGTGTCAAATTCAATATTTAAAGTTTAAATGTAAAACTGAATTATGGGACATAAGCGAATGGGCAATGACAACCAGTGACACTATCTGAACGATGCAGTTTGCTAACACGCTGGATGTCAACTGAATACAAAGTTTAATATACCAGAAAAACTGTGGATCGAATCAAAATATGTAATTTCTGACATCATTACCAAATGTATGAGGCGGTTTTCAAAACCTGCATCTAGACATTCAAGAACTCATATTAATGGACTACTGAGGACTGTCCATGACCTCTTCCTATATCAGGAGGTATTGGAGTCTTTATGCTTTCACAAGAAGATCAATTCAATAAATTTTTCGCAAGAAGATCAATTCAATAATTTTATCCAGTAACAACTTTTAAAAGAAAAACAGCAAAACTTTATCAATCAATGAATTTATGAAGAATTCCTTTCTTCTTATTTATGAATTTATGAAAGGAGCCAGTCTTTGTGTAGCTTTGCCACGCTTTCAGTTACAATTAGGCTAAATTGGATTCTTTTTAACATCTCGGCTAATGCATGTTGTCTTCGTGCATTTAGAAATGTTAAGAATGTATGTTGTACCACACGGTGTAGGCCGATCTTGAAATCTCATGAGTTGGTAGTCATGGGAAAACAAAAATAAAAATGCAAAGTCGTTCCTTAATAAAAATATATTTTAGTTAGTCTTTTGTTCAGTTTACTTTCCATACAACATGGTGTAGCAAGCTGTTAAAGACGAAACTTGAATGTAACACCTAAGATGACTTTATTGACCCCCAATTCAATAAAGTCGTTTTATGTATGTTTTGTAAGTGTGACATTTTTTGTGTCGTTTGGAAATGCGAGTGGGATTTATTGCTGAACCTTTCATTTTTCTGATTCCGAAATCTGGAATTAGCTAAGAAAAAATATCTGACCGTAAACCGGGTATTAAGATAAGTGCCCTATTTGAGATTGTATTTCAAGTGCATCTCTCTCAGTGGGCGTATTTTTCAAATATGAAGTCACTAATGATCCTTAATAAAGGCGATATATTATTCTGAGTTAGATCTCATTTGTGCAACGATATTTGAGGCTCTTGAAGATAATATTATTGGAAAGAAGTACTGATCTTAAAATAGTTTATTAGTAATTAATCGACAGAAAAAATATCCTGATGAATTAATACTAATTATTAATTAATTAATACAAAGAAAAGGTAAATTCCTGTGAACAAGAGAAATGTGTTTCTTATAAAACAAAAATTTCAAATTGTTTAAAATCATATAATTATAAATTAGTGCGTTTGAAATATTCGCTTCAAAATTTCCAAATGAATACCAAATAGCCTTAGCAGCTGGAGTCAGCACCATCCTTTCTACTAGTCGGGATTTTATGCCTAGAATTTTTCTTGAACAATACTGTTACGAAAAGAACCTGAAATGATCAGTAAACTCTCCTATCCTTTTGGGGCTCGAATAAAATTTGTGTAAGCTCGTGGATCGTTAAGCTGGCCTTCATCTGTTATTTTCTTCGACGAACGATCGTAGGGGGGCTGGCTAACATTCATTTTCAAAACAGTCTCATGCTGCACAATGCAAACCTTTGGTCAGGATACGATAATGCTTGAGAGTTTTTATAAGATGTTCTTCAAATCCTCTACATAACACCGCGAACAATACTGAAATCCTAGAAAATATGTAATGAGTGTGATTTATTTCTAATATTAGAAGGATGTTATCATATACTGCGTCGGCAACGTGGCTTCTTTTATGCCATTATTTACTGCTAAAGATTAGATTTTATAAAAAATAAATAAACACTATTGGCTTCGGCCGTCCACGAGAATCTTGCCTTTTTCCTTTTTAATTTTAACAATGGTTCAGCAATAGCTGCAAAATCTTTTATAAAGGACCTATAATATGAACAAAGTCCTAGAAAAAGAAGAGAGCTTCTTCGCCGTGTTTGGAGTCGGATACTTTTGTACACGATTATTTTTGATTCGTCTGTCTCAATTCCTTTCTGAGATATTTTGTAACCTAAAATTTTTAATTCAGGGGCTGAAATTTGCACTTTTCGACATTAATTTTAGACCGGCCTCATTTAATAAAGAAAACACCTCTCTTTAATCCTGTACATGTTGGTCGAGATTATCACTAGTAATAATGATATCGTCTAAATAGATAATGAGACTTTCAAAGAACAGGCCTTACACAATGTCCATACATCGCTGAAATTTTTCCGGTGCCCCTGAAAGGCCAAACGGCATACGCAGGAATGCATAAGTGCCAGACTTGGTTATAAAAGCAGTCTTAGGCACGACCTCAGGCTAACCCCTATTTGAAAAAACCATGTCGTTAAGTCTAAAAGTCGTATACTTGGTCGATGTTATGTTCCTTAGAATTTCTTCATAATAGGTTAACGGATATACCGTATATTTAGTTATGGAGTTTAATTTACGGTATTCAATCGCGAATCGCCACCTTTTTGGATGTGTCATGGATAGTCATTACTTTTTTTTACATAAACCACCGGGCTAGCATAACTACTTGACATGGGCGTTATGATTTTTTACGTAGCATATCGGTGATATGCCCTTCTATTTCCTTATTTTATCATACCGGTATGCTTTGTGGCGACTGGCATTGAATCTCGGTGTCAATACTATGGTTAGTAACCTGAGTAAATCCGGAATATCACTAAATAACGAAACAAATTCACTTACCACTTGTCGGATTCTCGTTGCTCTTCATTAGCAGGTGGCCAAGGTTTTAACATCGGCGGTTCAGCCTTTCTTCTCGAACTGGTTTCATCGTCAGCTTAAGGGACGCTTCATTAAAATCCCGCGTTGCTTGTGCCTCTAAAGAAAATCTTTCCTAGATAATATGTGCTTGGCAGATTCTTTACAAAAAACATAACCTTACTTGTTCGTCCTTGATACGGATGTATAGCGGTAATTTACCTATGCACTTACATTTTTCTCCTTGCGCCGCTAACACTGTTCGTATTAAATTATATGGCGGTATTTCCGAAAATACTTCTAAAAAATTCTTCTGCCACACAGGAAACACTGTGCCCTGTATCCAGGAGTGCGGGTGGCTGGGATATTATTCACCAACACTTTCAATTTCGGAAGAGTCAAATTTTTCACCATTACTGTATTTAACTTGAAGGAAGAGGGGTTTTTCTTGGCCTTCGGATTTCCGCACCCTCCCGTCAGCAGAAATCCGTTTTTAGTTTTAAAATCATTTTTCATTTCCATGCTTTCCTTTTCTTTTTCCACTGGCCTTGAGACTTTTTTCCTGGATTGCTATTGAACTGTAGACGTTCGCTGGCTGTTTTTTGAATGCTCGGGTTTCCTTGCCCACTGATTCGCTTTGCTTCCGTAGCCGTGTGTTGACTTTGCTGTGTCTTGGCGCACCAAATTGGTTTCGTTGTTGATATTGGCGCTCTTGTTTCAATGTCCCGCCGTTCTTCTACTTTCAGACTGGATTGCTAGCTCAAATAAACTTTTCCAGTGTAGTCGGATTCCTTAATTCAATAAAGTTTGCCACTTGGGGAAGTAACCTCGGCAAAATCATTGAATTATCTCAGGATCCGGATGGTTTCCATTCAGAGTTGAAGACGTGAATTTTTCTTAAATAAAGCTTGAGAGATTTTTCAATTCGTTTCTGGATATGCTGAAGAGTTCCGCTTCTAATTTGGAACGATTTCTTACGACAGGGAAGGCTTTTTACTAAGGCAGTCTTGAAATTTTCGTAAGTATAGGTGGGACTTCCTGCTTGACCCAAGAGACTTCTGCCTATACATTTGAACCAGTTAGGTTTAAGCGCTGGCCCCTCAAAGCGCTGGTTTTAAGAAACTCGTGCACGGGGTAGAGCATGAAGTGGTCATCCAATTTTTTCCAAAAAGTTGGTTACCCGGTGATTTCCATTAAATGTTGCTTCTGGTTTCATCGAAGCGCGCATGGTCTGGACGATTGTAACCAAATCCTTTCCAGGGCGGCAGCTGGCATTTCTCGATTCTGAGCCGCTTCTGCAGGCAGCACAGTTCTTTTGAAACTCGGCCATGGTTATTCTTCTTCGTTGGGCGCCACTATCAGGTTCAATGTTCGCTTACTTTCTTTGGGAACATGCAAGGACCTGACTCGGAACAGGGAGCTTACTAAAGCTATGTTCAAAAACTTGGGAAGAGACAAGATACACAGGAAGGTATACAAAACCCTTTATATGTTTCACTCTTTACAAAATTTCCGTACTTCGGAATACAGAGACCAACTACTTGTGGTCTGAACGTAAAGAAATAAAAATAACTAAACTCTAACTTAAATTTGGAATAATCAACAAGGGCCTACGTGTAAGATTGGCTGGATATTAACAGGAAGCCATATGTAGTACAGAGAACTGTTAACACTACAATACGTTTAAAATTGTCACGAGGATTAATCCTCTGGCCTGGAAGGCAAACAGCAACCGAGTAAAACTTCGGAGGCAAGCGGCCTGCTTCGACTAACTCCTTCCTCTCTCTCGCTTGGCAAAAAGCCACAACTTAAGTACTTGGCGTTCACCAGACAAATTTTGCATAAATAAGTTAACGCTTTTAATTTAATTCTGGCCGGAAGTAGAAAATGAGAAGTGATAGTAAAGATTTAAATTAAAATAAACGTTAGTAAAACTTAAGATCCTTACAATGTGAGAGCTCTTATCATTTTATCAGTCAGTTCACTTAAATAGACTTTATCAATTAGTTTGAAAGCAATATTATAATATACTTAGTACTTCTTTAACATGTGGGTGTATGAGTATTTGCACAAAACGAGGAGGGGAAACAAACGTACAGCCAGTTAAAAAAATAAATTAAATTTACAAATTAAATTTTACCTTGCATATGTTATATCTTCGGCCGCAATATTATTTTTCATAAGTTTATAGTGCGTTGCATTCCAATTAAGTAGCTTGCCTTTTCTTGTTAGTAGTTAAGACTCCAAATAATATAAATTGATAAAAATATGATTCAACAACTTTAATCTATTATATTTTCTTATTTTTCAGATCTGCCATAGTTACCATCAACTCTTCAGTAGGCGGTGGCATTGCTGCTTTAGTTTTCAGGTAGGTCGGTCAAACATTATCGATTTTTAATTTCCTACAATTCAGTCTGGTAGTTAATAGCCTAATATTATTGACATCATTCTATTTAATATTTTAAAAAGCATTCGTATGAATTTTCGAATATTAAAATAAATAATAACGTAAAAAGAATACTGTTGTTTATAATTCGGTGAACCATTTTGAAACTGCATAACAAGTAAATCATGCATTCAGTGCCAAATTTTAATGCAGTAAAATAGAATTAAATGCATGTTTCGCGTATTTCAGAACGTTTACTATCTACACTCTTGCAGGTGAGGCCGACATCTATGAAAGATTTATTTATCTATTAGAAATTATTTTTTAGAAAGATTTATTTGGACAAGCTAGTTGATGCCATAGTTGAATAAAAAATGATTATCTCTTTCAGAAAGACAGTTGTTAGGCTGGCTTCCATGCTGATTATTGTCAAGAGCATTTTCAAAATTATCGTCACCAAAGTGTATCATAAACACTTAGGACAAGGATGCAAAGCTTCTATGAGATTGCCATTCTAGTTATCATATTTAATCACACGTGACATTTTCTTGTAAGGGAGGGGGGTCTGTCAAAAATGATTATATTCTCGAAAGACATCGCCAAGAGAATGTCACAGCAAATTTAATTCGAAGACTTAGTTCCATATGTTTCCACCCTTTCTTAATATTCAATATCTTCAGAACTTTGTGAGTTAGTCCATTTCTTGCTAGTCTTTAAAATCTTCGTAACTATATCACCGAGGTTATGAATCGATCGATATTATATGCTGACACTAGTACGCGTATCAGACGAAACCGATTATAGCATAGATGTTTGCCATATTGGCAAAGAGGTATACATTCAGGATTAAGTATACTTAGAAAAAAAACTTGAAGCGTTTGCCTCTTTTTAAGTATAATAAATTTTGTACTGTTTGCTTGATTGAAATTGATTTCATAAAATTATAAATAATTCTCTCTTTTACTAAACAAATTATGCTGTGAATCGACGATTACTACGATGATCGTTACCTTTTTGAGCTAAAAGTCTTGGCTTCTTTAAGCACGACTCGGTGCCATCTGTGATTATATTGAGTTAACAAAGGATTCTTTATACACTTCTCTGAACTTTGTCGTACTTGAGAATAATTCCTCATACGGTCTTCTAGCGTCTCGTTAGTTAATACTTGCGAAAAATACGAAATGCTGTATCTTCTTATTAATATCTTCAATATTTCTGTATTGTATGTATCTTCAATGTAATGTATCTTCAATATTTCTGTATATTCTGTATTTCTGTATCTTCAATATTTGCTGTTCCCATTTCTTTTGCTTCTGCGATTTCCACACACTATCATCTAAGCTATTTAACTCTTGTCTTCTTGGTTCATTATTATCAATTTTAACTTACTTTCTGAAAGCCTAAATAATAGACCTTTTAAAGGAGTATTTTCAACCGTTTTCGCTAGTTTAGGTGATTGGTCATTGGATTACCAGCATTTTCGCCTTCTTCGATAGAAAATTTCTTCAGCACATTTGTCCACTATTTTCGCAAAACATTTTATAAAGTTGTATAGTATGTTTCCAAACAACAGCAGTCATAAAAATGAATCTTTTGCATTGAACTGAAGTTGAATATTCTTGACGCTGCGATCAGAGTTTTGCATAACAAATTCTGATATTTAAAATATAAATTTTGAATAGATTTTATTCAATGTGTTGGAATAATATTACACAGTTTCTGGTGATTTTCTTGTGTTTGTTTTATCCCTTATCAACATCTTCAAAACGTTTCGAAACATTCTCATGAAATAAAGCAAGCATTATATAAATGCTAAGGTTTTAATAAAAGACTAGCTAAAAATGACAAAAAAGGTCAAGAAGTTACCGAACGTTTCGAATTTTATTGAACGATAGGAATCTCAATGAAAAGGATACCAAATTATTTGGATGTGTCGAATCCTTAACTGTCGGACTGTCCAATATTTGCAGTTCCTTCATAACATGGAAAGTGAAATAACTCCAGCCTTTGCCAATATATTCATCATAGCTTTCTTGGTAACATGTAAATGTCCTTTTATTTCCTCTTGCAATACAAGTCATGCATTTTTCAACAATTTCTGATATTATTTAGTGACTTTTTTCATAAACTTCAAACAAATTTCATTGCATTCAACTCACGATCTGGATTCAATCATCTCAAAAGAAAACCTATCATGGTATAGCTTAGATTTTAAATGATTTTAGGACTCGTTCCATTCAAGCATAAACAGCCTCTATTGAAATTCAAAATGTCTACTAGCATTGGATTGGATTACAGAGTTCCTAGTGTGAATGTGCATTCTTAACAAAAATATTATATAACTAGAAATTATAACAATAACACTTATTGTTTTTATGAAATTAAGCAATATTATAATATCCATGCGTGGTAAAGGTATATCCAATGAGTAATAGTTAGGTTTAGGTAGATAACTTTATAATCACATATAGCACAATAAAATTAAAAATTGATTTACTCTTAATAGAAGATATATTGAACAAATTTGACACCTCTAATCACGATAAATTTTGTAAAACATTTAACGAAAACCTTTACCTTTCAATCTGTCAATATGATTTTAAGTACTAATTGTATAATTGATTTAAAGGATCTTTTCTTTCAATAAAATCAATTTAATTTGTATACGCGAGAAATTCGAAAACAGATAATGGATATCGCACAGTAATATACATCGTTGTAGCCATGGGAAAAGGCGTATTTACTCAGTATTCCTTATTTTTAGTCCTTTTTATAGATTTATTAGGGAAAAAGGTTCATTTATTAAGAAACGAAAACGACAAAGATTTATTTTTTTACAAACCTGTCACTTGACAAAAAGCTTTTCTAATCGATATCGTAAGGCGTTTCTGAAATAAAATAGAAAGAGATTTTTAGCTCCATATAAAAAAATTAGCTTTTTCCGTACCTATACTTATCCGTAAAACACTTCACAGTTTTTTTCCTATCTCCGTTTCAATTTCACCTAAATAGCGACAACAAAAACAAACCTGTGGCTGTTATGCCATTATTAACATGTATAATACATACTTGTATAATACTTATACGTAAATCAAGTATATATTCTTGATTTACGTAAGACCAGATAAATACAGATTTAGGTATTTCATGTTTATGCTTATGTTCATATTTATGTCATACATGTTTATGTTTTTATGTTTTTTATGGTTCATATACATGTTTATGTTTTTATGTTTTGTTTGGGACTAAATTCATTATTTTATATAAAACAGTTATATATTAAAGTTCCATTGTACTCTACACAAAATTTTCAAATTCATCAGTGTTGTTTTTATTAATCCTCTTGGTCCGGACACATTCCAAATCAGGTCCATAAACTCATCGTGCTCAAGAGGGAAACGATTGCTCTTCTCGTAATGCAAAGCCTTGAGCACATTATAAATGACAGTACGAGTTGGCCCTCCTTGAGCACATTATAAATGACAGTACGAGTTGGCCCTCCTTGAGCACCGTATAAATGACAGTACGAGTTTGCCCTGTTCCATCTCAGTTTTGATGAAGAAAACTGAAATATGAATCCGAGATTCCCTACCATTTACTATCAGGTTCAATGTTCCGTCTTACTTTCTTTGGGAACATGCAAGGACCTGACTCGGAACAGGGAGCTTACTAAAGCTATGTTCAATAACTGTGGGAAGTAGACAAGATACACAGGAAGGGTATACAAAACCCTTTATTTTACACTCTTTATAATAATTTCCGTACTTCGGAATACAGAGACCAACTACTTGTGGTCTGAACGTAAGAATATAAAATATAACTAAACTCTAACTTAAATTTGGAATAATCAAACAAGGGTCTACGTGTAAGATTGGCCGGATATTAACAGGAAGCCGTATGTAGTACAGAGAACTGTTAACACTACAATACGTTTTAAAATTATCAAGAGGATTTAAACCTCTGGCCTGGAAGGCAACCAGCAACCGAGTAAAACTTCTAAGGCAAGCGGCCTGCTTCGACTAACTCCTTCCTCTCTCTCGCTTGGCAAAAAGCCACAACTTTAAGTACTTGGCGTTCGCCAGACAAATTTTGCATAAATAAGTTAACGCTTTTAATTCTGGCGGAAGAAAGAAAATAAGAAGTGATAGTAAAGATTTAAAATAAAATAAATAGTAAAACTTAAGAGCTTAGTAAAACTTAAGATCCTTACATACTTCCCGCCAGAGTTAATTAGTTTGAAACTGAGGTCTAAAACGACCTTGTTGAAAACTTTGAGCTCTAGAATCTTACGCGAGGCCAATCTTTTACAAACATTTCTCACTAGAAACTAGAAATTTTTTTATAAAAAAATTTGTTTTTACAATAGCAGCTCCATGGACACCCAATTTTTCATCTGTACTGCATCTAAACAGGAGCTTTTATTTATTCAAATCTGGTTCCTTCCAGAGATCTGGAAGGAAAAACTAGTTTAATGAAATGTTACACAATGAAATGGCAAGTAACATGCATATTTATATTTCTCTTAACATTCTTATTTCATTCATGACTATTTTAATTATCTCTCCCCGTGCTCTCTGACATGTGTTGTAAAAGAAACACCAAACACGAATGTGTTTATGTATACGTGTTCAACACTTGCCTCCTACAATCAAAACACTAACGTGTTAAAAATTCAACATAACAAGACCTCGTAACACACCCTATCTTCAACTCTAAACCCTGAGGTACTATTCTGAAAGTGGCTAACTAACTCTGAAGTGTAGCGTCAGAGAGCCTAACTACATTCATTCAACCTTTAACACATATTCACCATAATTTGGTCTTTTTACAGTCACACGAATAAAAAAATTTTTTTGGCATTACTTTCACTTTTACCATATCACAGTATTTCTTAATATTTAAAATAACAGTTCACATTGTATATAAGAACATATTAACATGCCGTTAATTTTACGCATTTTAAAACATACATTAGTAGTACA